ATTTTCAAAGTGAAGAGACGTTTCTCATAAATATTCCTTATATACGTTAGAGTACTGAATATAAGACTCATGGATGTTACTTTCTCTTATGCAGCTATTAAATACGACAACATAGATGTGTTTGGTTACACAGCCTGGTCACTCCTTGATGGCTTCGAATGGCAACATGCTTACAACATCAGGCGTGGATTATTTTATGTAGATTTCAAAAGTGAAAAAAAGGAAAGGATTCCCAAGTCATCTGCACTTTATTATAAACAAATCATACGAGAAAATGGCTTCTTCCCAAGGGAGCCTACTCCAAGCTTGCAAGCTCAGTTCTCCTGTGACTTCTCCTGGGGTATCACCGAGTCTGTTCTCAAGGTAAGTGTAAAATATTGGGAAGACCACTGGAGACCGAGCAACCAACAACTTTATTTTGTGAATAAATGACTGTGCACGGCACCTAGCGTTCAGGAATCTCAGTGCACACTGCAAACAAAAGTTAAGCCTAGCCATAACTGCATAGGTTCAATTTTGTGTACTTTAGAGGTTTTTGGGTGAGCGAGTCACAGAGTGCCGGGTGCTCCTGCAGGAGCAGACCCCGCTGCAGGAGCCCTTCCAAGGCTGGCCCTCCTTCGCCTTCCCTCTGCGCGTGTCTCCATGTGGCAGATCAGATCAGGAAATTTCAGACCAAGAAGCTGACCCCAACCGATTGTTCATGGGTTATTTTTCAACCAGAGGGGGGTCCAGTTCGCAGCGTGGCCATGGGGATGCCTATGACAGCACGACAGAGGGGGGGGGGGCACAGGGCAGGGACAAGGTGGTTATGGTGGTGAGAGCGGAGCTACCTCCAGGCTCGAGGTCTTGTCTAAAGCTACTGAACAAGGCAGAAACAGACTCCTGGGTTGAGCCTGGCTCTAAGTGCCATTGAGATGTGGGTAACAAGCCATTCTTTAAAAAGACTTACACCACAGGCGAAGATAGCCAACATCAGCACATATAGCTTTTACCATCTGAGCTCACATTTGAAAACACATCATACCACCTTTTTTCCAAACTGGTTCCTACAGTATCTATTTCTACTTTAAATTTGGTAGATAAGCTAACCGTATGTATAGCCAGTGTTGGGATACTCTTTTTGTCATCGCATACAGAAAGATAGTCCAATGACCAACATCAGTCTCAAAAAATAACAACAAAACTCCATAATTTAACCTAGTCACTGACAACCAGAGGAAAAAAAAGTAAGGCTTCTATATATTTTGTTGATATACAGCATGGAAAAAGTCCGTTTTCTTAAAAAAATCAGATTTAATCTAAATATTTTAAACTTCACTATATTGTATTCCAAATCCTACAAAAAGTACTTTAAAAAATTGGAATAGGGAAAAAAAAAAAGTGCTACACAGAACCTTGTTAACTAGTAGGAGATAGTAAAGATATAACTAAATGTTACAAGCTGTTTGTGTCAGATATTTGCATAGGCAGAAGGACTACCAGTAAGACCAGGGAACACTATGCCACAGTTTCACAAGGTTGATCTCAGCAGCAGTGCCAAAATAATCCATGCCTGTCTCGTATAGACCCTGGTGCTGGTTCTGACCAGCCCGTGCTCCGGCCAGCTGCCTGAGAGCTGCTCTTTGCATGACCACAGAGTGAACTCGATCTGGGAGGTGCATCCGTGTGAAAATACACGTTGTGTAGGCTGCTGGCAAGGCAAATGCCAGCGTGTAGCTAAATAGAAAGGAGAGTGCAATTTTAATGTTTTCCGAAGGTGACCACTAGCGCAAAGCCCGTGTAGGTGAGTCGGCTATCCTCTTCCCCTTGGGGCATCTAAGCGGCACCTTCTGACATCCAGCACTAATCCTACAACCAAACACAGGCAGAAATGCAGACTATGAGCAGGCATTTATTGAATTAAACCCTGTTGTAACATATCGTTTTTATTTTCACAGGCAGAATCCGTGGCTTCCTCACCGCAGTTCTGCGATTCCAGCCTGTACCTCTGGAACGTCACAGGAGATGGGCTCCTGCACAAAGTTAAAGGGGTGAAGCTAAAAACTCGACCAGCACAGTGCACAGATTTTGTCAGTATTAAAAAGCAACTTGACCTCCTGGAAAGAATGAAAATCACCCATTACAGATTTGCACTTGACTGGTCACTAATTTTACCCAATGGAGATTTATCCGTGGTCAACAGGCAAGTTCTTAGGTATTACAGATGTGTGATTAGCGAAGTACTGAAACTCAACATTCAGTCCATGGTCACCTTATATTATCCAACTCAGGCCTACCTGGGCCTGCCGGGTCCTTTGCTGCAGGCAGGAGGATGGCTGAACCAGTCTACTGCCTACGCTTTTCAAGACTACGCAGCTTTATGTTTTCGGGAACTTGGCGATTTGGTTAAACTTTGGATTACAATAAATGAGCCTAACCGGCTAAGCAATGTCTACAATAGGAGTAGCAATGATACATATCGGGCAGCACACAATTTATTAATAGCACATGCCATGGCCTGGAGAATATACAATGAGCAGTACCGGTCCTTTCAGTATGGCAAAGTGTCCCTGTCCCTGCATTCGGACTGGGCTGAGCCTGCCAATCCCTACTTTGAATCTCATTCAAAAGCTGCCAACAGGTTTCTTCAATTTGAAATAGGCTGGTTTGCCGATCCCATATTTAAGACTGGGGACTATCCAGCTACTATGAGGGAATACATTGGCTTTAAAAACAGAAAAGGCCTCTCGTACTCTTCATTGCCATCTTTCACAAGCGAGGAAAAGCAGCTTGTCAAAGGTGCAGCTGACTTTTACGCACTGAATCATTTCACCACCAGATTTGTGATTCACGAACCTCAGAATGGGAGCCAGTATGAATTTGATCGTGACATTCAATTTCTGCAGGATATCACCTGCCTGAGCTCCCCTTCTCGCTTGGCAGTGGTGCCTTGGGGAGTGCGCAAAGTTCTCAGGTGGATTAAAAAAACCTACGGTGACATCGATATTTACATCACAGCAAACGGAATAGATGACCAGTCCTTAGACAATGACGAACTTCGGAATTATTACTTGGAAAAATATGTACAAGAGGTTTTAAAAGGTGAGTATATGATAGATTCAAGTTCCCCAGAGCCACTTCCGTGGCACAGACCCAGGCGTTCCTTACGCGAACACCTAAGACTCGCCCTGGACAGAGCATTTAGCCCTGGTTGAGATATAGGAACCAGCCATCAGCATTCAGCCCCCTGAGGGCTCTGATTCTGCAGTCACGCTCAGGGCAGATACAACACAAAGCAATGGCATCAAGCCCCTCACGTGAAATGCAGCCATGCACGGCTGCTTCCAGTTTAAACCACGTGAGACGCCATCTGGGCACGCATATACAGCAGAGTAGTTATTCAGAGTTAGCAGGAGATGGCACTTCAGACCAACTCCCAAGAGACAACTCTAATTTCTACTCTACAAAGAAAGGTGGGAGCCTCTGTCCTGGATGGACATACAGAAGAAAAACAGGTCACCAGATTTTTAAGGAGCTGCTGCTGAAGGAAAAGTCAAAACTCTAGTTCCTGTTCCACTACTTGCTTTCTCCTGGGCACCTACAGAAATCTAGTTCTTCACTTTAGAGAAAAATTAATAACAATTATGGAGGTAGAGGACAAAAATGTTCAAGGCAATGATCTTCAGCAATAGATTATTGAATGAGAAATGCTGCAGGAACCTCACCCCTCCCATCCCTCTTCTTTAACATTAGAGGGAAAGCAGCGAGCCACAGGATACCAGAAAGGCCTGAACCATACCACAGCCAAAATGAGACGTACAACACATCCCTGCGCTCACTATTCCCTACTGGTGAGCACCAGCAAGTTACCTGATCAGGACGTGGGGCGTCTAAAAGCTTTTCTGAGGAACCTTTCCCCAAACATAGCTTACGTATCCTGGTTTCTCCTCTCTTGTACAAAATGAGACAGGTCTTACTCATGGCTAAGCATGGCTTCAGATTGCTTTTAGACACCAACAAGAAACACAGTATTCCCTCCTCAGTGCTTAGCTCTTTCTCAATTACTATAGAACTAATGAGCATTTGCAGATTTACTTTCCACTCTAATTTCACATTGCAAACAAAAGAACAGTAAGTTGTTACAGGAAATAAGTTATTAAAGGAAAAGGTTGTGTAAAGGGCACTTCATCATAGTATTCCCATTTTAATTTTCAGATAGCATGACACTTCACTCACAGGAAGATCCTCTCAATTTACAATGTTCTTGCTTAGTCTGAGTCACATCCCCAACTATGCTCCCTGCTTACACATGAATTGGAGAGATGTTTATTCACGAAGGACTGCTATGTATCATTTCATTAAAGTATTTTCACCCAACACTTGGGTGCAGCAGTACAACATAGTCATGCATGCTGCAGGGCTGAGCGGCTGGGTTTGGAGCAGGGCAGGAATTTTCAGAGTGTTCCTCTCACGGCACCCATGAGCAGCTGCTCCCCTTGAGGCATTGCAGTGCGGTTCAGTAAAGAGCAGCATCTGGCTTTTCCCAGGAAAGCAAGATCCCAGCTCTAACCCCGTTCAAATCCAGCTTTCACAGAGTAGGTCCAGAAAATTCCCAAATTCTGAATTTTTTTTTTTTAAAACACTGATGCACTGTTACTACTTAAGACAGCTGAGCTTTATTAGCAGCGGTAAGTGTAAGTAAATATTTTACGATGCAATTACACTTTTTTAATTGATAATAATTTGAAATCTGAACTCATTACCAGAAAGTCTGAAGGTCATACAAGGTTTTATTAACATTTGATTTTGGTTTTTTTTTTCCCCTCTTCCCAGCATACTACATTGATAAAGTCAAAATTAAAGGCTACTATGCATTTAAGCTGACTGAAGAAAAATCTAAGCCCAGATTTGGATTCTTCACTTCAGATTCAAAAGGAAAGCCTTCAATAAAATTTTACAATCCCTGGATAAGCAACAACGGCTTTCCTGCTGCCTATTCAGTCTGCGATCCCTCCAGCCAAGAAAAGCAGTGTAGCTTCTGCTTGTTTATTTCTCAGAAGAAGCCGTTGATATTCTTTGCCTGCTGCCTTTTCTCTACCCTTATCTTGCTTTTAACCATTATTGTTTTCCACAAAAGAAAAAGAAGAAAACGTTTTAAGTCAAAAAGCATCCAGTGCATCTGTGTTTCATTTTAAAAAGGGGGCACAAGCCCACTTTTGGTGAGATAGATCACTGTTTGCATTCTACGGAGGACGATGCACATCAGACAACTGTAGAAATGCACTACGTGAGTCACTCCAGTCATACACACCAAGCGTTTCGTTCAAAAACAGGAAAGTAATCGTATACACAGGAAGAAGAGCTATGATGACATTTGTTTCTAGTGAAATTACTTTTATCCACCTACTGTACATAGAAGATAAATTCATCTATTTAAAAAAAAAAAAAAAAGAGGAACATTTTATGACTCTCCTGTGCCTTGGAATGACCTTTCAGTTTGACTTGAAAAGAGGTATTGAGCTGTGAGAACTGATATGCACTTTTGTATGAACCTCTGGACCAAAGTGTCGTGTGATGTATATTCATGTTATGAATGTTGTTGAGCATGAAACTGCAGCTTGTTAGGGTTTACAAATAAAAGTGTTATGAAAACCCACAAAATTTCAACTAACTACAACACCAAGAATGAAATGTCCTGGGCCAGCTTCTGAAGGTACCTCCAAAAAACCACATCCAAGTTCACTCTGTTATTGAACAACATACCTGTATCTCTTACAGACTGGGTGAAGTAGAGATCAGATGTTAATATTGTAAGCAAATGTAACTGGACTCACAGGAAACAAGTCAAAATAATATACAATCACTATTTTTCATCTCTAAAATGGGGCAGCCATAAAAAATTTACTGGCAGAGAACATCAAAATAAATAGTAACTATTAACCCACTCAAGAGAGTGATGAATATAATTCTAAATTGCACTTTTTTGTAGAAATAAATATATATTATCATCTTAGTTCTGGTCAAGTGGCAGTGCAAGCCACAGATGGGATAAAACCACAAGAGAAGCTTACTGCTATTGCTGCATTAAACAGCTACCAACCCAGTCATAACGCTCTTAAAGGATAAATGAACCTGCTATCTCATTTAAATTTTTCAGGGACCAAACCCAGTCGTTTCCCTTGGTCTGGTTTTGATCATCTCAAAATGAGCCCAACAGGTTTTTCCCGTAAACTGCACCATCATTTACAATTTACATTGGCCAGCCTCTTCAGTCATTGCATCAGAACATCACTGCCCAGGCAGGTACCACACACCTTTGGAGAGAGGTAGAGAACCTGCTCTAGAAATGGAGCGAGGGGTAAAAAGAGCTATCAGTTAAATTCCTGTTCCCTCCACTTTACAACCTTCTTTTCCAGTGTCTAGTACCATTTTCAAAACACAGTGAAACCCCCAACCTGCTCCCACTAGAAGTTAGTTACCTCAGTCTTAAGGTCCCCAAAACAGATAGACGCACTTTATCTGTACCCCAGCACCCCTGAAGAGATGACGCATATAAACACATTGTCTTTTCCAGCTGCATCTGAACACACAAGATAGCATCAAACACAAGGTAAATGCTAATGTACTATAATAAAGTATTAAAGTCACTTGCAGACTACTAGAAACTTTGTGGAAGCACTACTTGGAAGACACGCACAATTGACTGAACCCCAAACTCCCAACACTTGACCCAACCTCAAGTCTCAGTTCATAAATGCATGAGACTATTTCTCCATTATATTTCAAGTATGGGTCAACAGCACAGAAGGTTCATTAATTTGAAAGCGAAGCACTAGTAAAACGATGAGGGACTCCAGCCCATTTTATACTAGATGTTCTACCAGCACAGCCAACCTGCATGCATCCTTCCATCACCCAAAGAAACTGAGTAGTTATCACAGCAACTGCAGAATCCAACTGGAGCGTACTACAGGGAAACTCCTCTTGAATTCTGCATGCATTGTGGGAGCACAGACAATTTTGGCAGTTTGAACAGCACAAGAACCGATCTTAAAAATGCCAAGCAGGCCATGTACAACTTCCACATCAGCCAAGTTTGGTACCAGTACTTTCCCAGACTGAGAGACAGCAGTGCCACACATCCCCGCTGAACGCAGCACAATCAAACAAGTGGGTGCCTTGGGCCATTTCCTGAATTTCTTAGGCATGCAGTAATGGTTTCCTCAATATTAAGCTTTAGCCACTTGTTGCCAGGTATGTTTCTGCACTACGCCAGTATTTTCTGTGAATCTTTTTTCAAAATTAAATGTAACAAGTGACAAAGTGGATTTTACCATGGCTCAGAAATGGCACGACATCCCCATTAGATGTTGCTGCATGGCAAGATTAGTAACCAAGAAAAAAAACAGAGCTGTATCCCCCAGATGACACAAACCACTCAGCAATAAGCTCTGCCTGAACCCTGAGCTCAAGTCCTTGGTTTTCTTAATTGAGCGATATAGCTAATGCATCCTATTTTCAGTCTACTTCTTCTGTCTCCATATTTAGTTTAAATGGTCTTATAAATCTGGTCCTACTGATGCCAGTTTTGTTTTTAATCTACTTCTGATTCCGTCATCACAAGCCTGAATTCCCTTCCAGAAATTGTACACGGAAATCAGGTTTTGCAGTCTGAGGTTCTGAAATGATGTGAAAGAACACTAGTCTCCTTTCTGTGAGAACAATGCTTTTGCTATTTCTTAATGCTAGGATTTAAAACTACCACTTCATGGCTTTACACACTGGGTCCACACTCTACCGGCATGAGGTTTCAAAACCATCAGACTTCATTCAGCCTGGATGTTCTCAAAGACTGGTAAACCAACGAGTACACATTGCCAACATTATCTCACATTACCCTCTGACAATCTGCTTCTCCAAAAGCCAAAGATCTTGAACAGGTTCACGCAATCACCATTTAGTTCTTAAAAAAAAAAAGAGGTCGAGATATGAAATACGTTTTATTTTATTAAACCTCTCATGGTGTTCAGGTTTTCTATCAGATTCTTCAAGCTGGCACTTGCTCATATGATGTCTCACGGTGATGTTTCAGGATCCAGACAACTGTAAATAAAAAGAGCTTTTAGAAAGGTTTTAGCACTGTAAACATGAAAGTTTATAGACATATGACAAGTTAATTTATCTGATATAGTTTTAATGCAAGACAGACAGTAATAGCTCTAAGAATTTGCTTAATTTTATTCAGACAAGATTACTTAAAAGATGCCTTCAAACACAACGGCTCAAGACTTTAACAAGAAGGTAACAAGTTGTTCCATCTCTCAAGAACTTGGAACAGCACTAAAAAAACATTTTTTCAGTAGCTTGCAAGTGTCTGGTACCTGGTTGGTGGTAAAAAAAAAAATAATTAAGTTTATGAAAGTCACTTCATGTGCATCCTTTGTCTCAAGCTTAGGTTCAGAAGGCACACAACATTTATTTTATTTGCAAGTCATCCTGTCTCATGCTGCACAAGTGTTTTGTACCATGCAAGGAACCAAACATAGCTGAAATGCATCAAATTTCTTTAGCAGTTAAAATTCCTAAATTATCCCCAAGTCCTTATACTCAACTGCAGTAACAAATGTACATGCACAATGTAAATAGTTGTCCTTGTTAAACTGACCTTTGTTTACAAGCATTTACATACAAACTACACAGAAGACCTTTATATATAAATTCTGTGCTGACGACTTTTTTTAGTGAAGTCAGTGTCCAACCAGGAGGAACATTAACTTAAGTCTCTGTAAAGAGCTGTAAACTGGTCTTGTCATGCTAGGTCAGCTGGTTTTAAATTCTCAGCCACCATGGTAACGAGCACAGAATACAGCACTTTCAAGTTAGGTATTTCTCCATACAGTAGCATAGTACCAAGCTGATGAGAGATGGAAAGTTGCTGTCAAAAGACCTAGCAAAATTTAAGTTTTATGATACCTCTTATGATGCCTTTTACAAGCACAACTGCATCCCTGTTGGGAACCTGCTTAACCACAACCTTGTTAAAGTAGATAAAGCTTGTCAAGTCCCCAGATCAAGTAACCATCTCCTCACGGAAGATGTACAATCTGTGTCAAGATGATACCAACCTATTAACGAGTTCTACTCATCTGCCTGCTGTACTGTTCCTTTCTCAGAGACATAGATACCATCCAAGAATTTCCTGATATCCTTGTTCTTGACCGTAGTGGCTTGCTGGATCAAGGCAGCTGCAGACAAAGCAAGACCATCAGCACAAAGCAAGAGGTCCAAGCCAACTCGTAGCCTTTGTTTACCCTCCAATATTTCAACTAATAAATGAAACTGGCATCTGGAGAAAGGAATTACAAACTTGAAATCCTGTTGAGTCTAATGAAAACAGAATGTGAAACGCAGACTGAGCCTGTCTTGGCAACTTGGGGCAGTGACAGTTTATTACTGCACACTCGTATAACTCAAAAGCTGAAAACTTTGGTACCAAAAAGGCCATCAATTCTGACACACACAAAAAAAAAAGGTTCTGTGGACTTGTAAAAACATCTCTAATTTTAGAAAAAGCGTAAGAAACTATGAAAAGCAATTATGGTAACTAGAGGGAAAAAAAATTCCCAGCTGTCGTTTACCTCAGGGTTTGAGGAAAAAGACAGTTTGCTAAGCTGACATCTTCAGATAAAAGTGGCTGTATCATTCTATCTTCCCATGCATCTACTTTCACAAACCTGAATTGGAGACCAATTCAATGTCATTCCCTTCAAGGATCAGCTCATCTTTCTGGGCTTGAGATACTGCACAGGAAACACCTACAGAAAGGAAAATGCACAATCTACATTGTTGGTGAAGATATTAGGCATACTAAAGAAAGAGTACTCATGTCCTGTCCCAATTTACAGATCTAGAAAGTACTATTTTAGGCAATAATTAGCTTCTATGACTTTGTTAAGAGTCCCCCAAATCCCTTCCAGGGTTATCCTCCTTCACACAGTTTCAGAACTCAAAGATTAGTGCAAGTCATGCTCTGGATTGAAGGCAACTAAGTGATATTCCTACTTAAATATTACTACATTACAGCATTAATCACCAACACTGTCTACAATCCAGAGATTTTGCCAGCAGGGTTTCGTCAGCTAGGTGGTGCCATTTTCCACGTTCCTACGTTCATCAAGACAAAGCTGGAGTCATCCCAATCAAAAGTCACTAAAGCCCCTCCCTGCCCCCTGACATGTCAAGCACCACGTTTATACTAGCAATACTGCGAATACCCACACAGAGTAAACACTAGGACATTCAAGAGTCTAACGGGAAACTTCCAGTTGCAAGGAGAATAACACAAGTTAAGTTTTTATAGTTTGATCTATTTAGTCAATAGATGTTAGCTTTTAAGCCAGCACTTCACTATCTTTGAAGTAAATGCAGGCTTAAAAAAAAAATAAAAAATTCAAGTACAATAATCAAACCCACCCTTAAATCCCACAGTAAATCAAGGTCAAAGCCAGTGTTTTTGGACAAGTCTGATGTTTTCATCTAAAGCCACCCCAAAACACCATCAGTCACATTAAATATCCTTATTCATACCTTCATCAGAAGTGGAACTACATAAAAAAAAGGAATATGAAAAGTCCTTCCTACAGTCTTAAGGTAACCGTGTTTACGACACGTTTTGTCTCCTCCTTTCGGAAGTTTAACAAGCTCCATCAAATGCCTACTCCGTTACGACATTTTGCTAGAACTTGAAGTATGCAAGATGTAAAACCAACAGGTAAGATGATCATTTTGAACTTTATCATACATGCTCCTAGACAATCAGGAAATTCAAAATACAACAACACTCAGAGATGAAAGATACAATGTGGTGTGAAACTAGTTCACGTACAATGTTTAAAACAGAAACACAAATCTAAAATTAAGCACGTACAGTTTACCAACTGTCAGAAGTCTCACAATGATGAAAGTAAACACTGGGCTCCTTGGAACTCATATTACAGTAACTAGCTCTAAACTAGTTATTAGCTAGCTCTCTTCACTAAAAATTAATTACAAAAGCATTATTAATAATAAATCTGAACACTGACAAAAGTATCATAAGATTACATAAATTCAGACAGGCAAATGCCACTTCAACAATCATTCACTATCTCCTGTTATCAGTGGCAGTACCCAAAGGAAATAGTTTAGAAACCCTGGTTAGAAATAGTAAAGTACATCTCCAGATATGCTCACCTGGCCTCATACGCACTCTGCGTATGTACTTCTCTCCCAAGAAGTTTCGGATTTCCACAAGTGAGCCATTATCCTGTATAACTACGTTGATTGGGAAGTGAGCATACACTGACCTCATCTTGTAACGAAAGCCCTGTGACAAAGGACATCATCAGATATTGAAAGCAGAACATGTCCAAAAAGTAAAACACATGCATTAAGCTTACAGGAGAAATCTAGACCAAATATACTGAAAAAAGTTTCTTAACAAGGGCAAGACACTGAGCCCAAGAGACGTTCCTGCTTTCTTCCACCTGCAGAACTTGTTTGACAGTAAGTGCAAGAAAAAAAAAGTAAAAAGAAAGAGAGAGAGAAAGGTACATCTTGGATGCTTAGAAAAGCTCTCACTAAAGTAAAACACTGTCTATTTTGAGCAACAACAGTGACAGGAATTATCGCATTTCAAAATAAAACTTACCAGTGTGACACCCTTTATCATGTTCTGTACATGGCTGCAAATTGTGCGAACTGTTGCCAGCTCCTTTCTGTTACCCCACCACTTGTCAACACGCAGCTGTGTTAACAAAAAATATTAACAAAGCTTTCAGCTACACTTCAAGACTAAAAATGAAACATTTTTGTGACAAACTAAGAGCAAAAGTTCAGGTAAACTACCCAAAAGCCCACCTAAATATTTTGTTTGACAGGCTATTAAAGGCCCACCTAGCTCAAGTCTTTAAAGTCCTAAGCCCCCAAAACGTATGAGAAGCATTTTCTTCGTGTCTCATTGCTAACAAATCTTCAAAGAAGCTGGGATAGACACTCTGACATCTTAAGTTGAAAGATGTATTATCAAATGGTAAACACGTTGTTCCAAAGTCAGTCTCCTACGTACAATCTATAAACTTTTAAATGAAACGCTGTGTGTGGGTCCAGTGTTTTAATGAAACACAAGATGCTTCTGAAAAAGTAGCTGAAATCAGCTACTCTTCCCCTTTTTTTGTAATTCTTAAGACCTTACAAAAATATTATTCATCTATTTAGAAAACATCTAATGTAACTTGCCAATCCTGAAAGTTAAACATATAGATTTAGTTTTTTCTAGCTAAAACTTGCCAGTTTATAAAACACAGCATATGATGATCAATCCCTTTCCCAGTAACTGATTGTAACTAGAAAGGAAATCAATCAACAAATTCACTCCAACATCACACAACTGCACAACTTCCACGGTGCCCAAGGAGATCCCAAGGTTCCATGAGACCAGCCTCTTCCAGAAAACGCAGAAACAAGTGAAAAGTTAAATAACGTACCTGCAGCTAAACATTTTGGTTCCATCTCTTACATTACCAAGAAGTTTTTAAGCTAATTGTAAAGCTACCCTCCCTCTCCTGGCAGCGAAACGACCTCTGCAGCACTCACCTTCTTGTGTTTCTTTCCCAAGAGGGACAGTTCCACATTGATGTGGTTAAAATCCCTTCGCAAGGTTCCTCTGGGGCCCTTTACAATGACTGTCCGGCCCTTCAGTGAAACACTGACTGGAAATCAAAAGCAGACACACGTTAATCGGCTGCAGGGTCAGCACCACAAAACGCCTTTCAAACGCACAGGCAGACATACCTTGCTCGGGGATGTCAACGGTCTGGTTGCTGAGAATGGTCTTCATTCTACAAAGGACAACCGAAAAAAGCTGCAGAAGCTCAAGGCAAGGCCCCTCTGCGCCCTTCCCGCTCCTCTCTCGCACGTACCCGGGAACGCGCAACTACGGAGCGCCGACCCGATGCCCCCACCCGGTCTG